CCCCCCCCCCCCCCCCCCCCTTCTTACCGTGCTGGAGTAGAGAGAGCCGCCTCTCTCGCCGGCAACGTTGCCGACGAAGGTTGTGTTCTGGCAGAGTAGGTGCACCGAGTTCTCGTCGTCTACCGTGGCATTCAGGGCCTGCGTCGAAGCGCTCGTCTCCTCCCCCGAGCTGTCGCCGCCAGAGACGGTGTCTACGGATATCGCGCCGCCATCGTAGACGGCTGTGAACGAACACAAGGTGGTGGGTTTTAGAAATATACGTGATACATTCAATTCAAGAAAGACTAACCTTTCTCGAGATAAACCGCAGTGATAAATTGGAACAGGAAGGTTGTTTCGGGGTGGGGGGGAGGGGTGAGAGGAGACATACTGCGTCGCCTCCCGCTATCGACAGAGGGCGTCCTGATCGATGACTGTATGACGAATCGATTGCACTAATACCTCCAGTATACGCACGAAAACATGAATGAAAAACACACTTCGAAATATGAAAACATTTATAGGGTGGGTTACAGTAGCGGGCCAAGTACTGCTCCACAAGGAGATGGAGATGGTTCCGACTGCGTTCGTAGTGCTATAACAGTGTAGGGGGCGGGTGCTTGCTTCGTCACGGAAACGGTTAGGCCGGGGATGGGTCTACTCAACGTCATCAGTGTATGATCGCGGCGCGAACGCTATTGTCATTCGAAGCCTTTCCACAGCTAAGCGATACTGCTGTATGTAACCGCTCTATGTATCGGTGGCGAACCTCTCGTTCTAGTCCCTTCAGAGCCGGGGGGTGGAAACCTTCAACACAAGGCGCCATTGCACGAAACCGCTGTGCTGTATTGTAGGTAGTGGACGAAGAAACGGTCGTTCGCATCCCTTCAAAGCCGGGGGGATGGAACCCTTTCACAGAAGGCGTTATTGCATGAAACTGCTACTGTAGGTTGTGCTATAGGTAGTGGGCGAACAGACGGTCAACCGCGTCCCTTGAAAGATGGGGGAAGGCACGGCGGGATTCTGCTACCCAGACAACCAGGCCAAGATCAAACCGGAGTGGTAGGTGGGACGGGGGTTTGATAGATAAATCCCTGAAAAAAAAACAGCGTTGCAGCGTTTTCGAATTCGACCGCGTCTCATTCTTACAATACACAACGAACAAGGTACAATACCGTAGAAGCTCTTGAGGGCAAACCAAATGTGGAATACATATTTCGATTCATCAGCACACGAAGGGTCAACAAATTGAAAAATGTTAAAAAGAAAATCCACTTCTGAAGTAAATGCGCATGGCGGGCGGCTAGCTGCTTTGCTGTGTGGATGGATCCTGTTCAACTCTCGTGCAAAACAAATGAGGTACACCGAAGGACAGCAGTGGGGTGCTCGACCAGAGAGATCTTTCTACTTACGGTTTCCGAACTGCGCTACTCGTACCACATCATGTCCCATCTTCGTTCTAATTCTTTTTATCCCCGACTAACGGCAGCGCACAAAACTGAAAGCCCAGCACTGGCCCAACGGTGTACGTACTCTGTGCCGCACACATGCCTCCTTCCCATGTGTTGTATCACGGTTGAACTTTGGTCAAGAAATTACTTGCTCCGTCGCTTCTTCCGATGTATATATTGCACCCGAACTAGCTTTTTCGTCTGGAAGAATTTACTTGCTTCGTCGTCTGGAAGAATTTACTTGCTTCGTCGTCTCTTGCAGCCCGGACTGGAGACACACACTGCCTATTTCCAATTTATTGTACAGCAGTATATCCGTGCTTTTGTCAAAAAACGACTTGCTCCGTCGT